ATAAAAAATACCAAATTGTCTGCCTCGGGTTACAACCACACACAGGCCAATGAATAAACATTAGGCTGACAAGATTAAATTCAAGTGACTAACAAAAAAACTATTCAGGGATTTTTTTAATTGCTTCATTTACACTAATCTGGAAACATATAAAATATAAACAAACAGTGCAATAAGTAACCAACAATTTATGAATCACTACCACAGAAATTGAGTCATTTTCTATGGATTATCAACCCTTTACAGGTTATTTAAAGCCATAAAATATTTTTAGATTAAAAGAATTTTTGGAGGGAAGATAATGATTTAGTGATAAAAGTCTTACTAATTAACCTGTAGTTGGAGAGAGAGAGAGAGAGAGAGAGAGAGAAGAGGCGGAGTTCTACCTAATCAGAATTTGATAAACAATTATAATGTAGATATAAAGTGGGTGATCAATTACATATTGCAGTCAGTATATAAATTGATCCCTCACTTTGTTATCACAGTAATTTCTATCAATATAGAGAATGTAAATAAATATAAAAAGATATGTCTGTGTAACTAATCTGTATTTGATTGATCGATTCATTCATTCATTTCCTATGGCTTATCAACACTTTGCAGGTTATTTAAAGCCAGAAAATATTTTCTTAGAGTATAAATTTTTTTAATATAATGGTTTAGTGATATAATTCTTACTAATTAATCCATAACTGGGAGGAAAAGAGGTGATTTCATGCCAGGAGTATTTGGTGCATAAGTGAATATAACAAACCTGATGGGAATTGGAATTCAGCTCCCTGATTAACAATTCTGAGCCATTATCCAAATACACCACCTACACATCCAAGCTTACAACACCTGGTATTCCCAAGCGGTCATCCATCTTGTCAGACTATGTTGCTTAACTGATTTTCATACAGGAACTGGTGGCGTTTGAATGGCCGCAAGCCACCACCCAGAAATAAATTATGGTAAGGCATCTTCATGAAATAATGTGATTTGTAAACCTATCCAAATTTTATTTTAATTTTTTTTTTTCTTGAATGCATTCAAAAATACATATTGTATTTTGCAAGATAAGACTCACTTCCCACTCTTTTCCTTTTCTAAATCTCTCAAAATAACCCTGTGTCATATTTGGTGATGGTCAGGTCCGAAATTTATGAATTTCCTTCCGAGTAGTCCAGAGCAAACTCAAAAAATTTCCCTTGATTTTATTTTTTCAACATTTCCTGACATATTTAGAAAATGTCTTTACACAAGACAAAATACAAAAAGTGCAAATGATATAAAATGTCTAATCTGCAATTGTATCGAGACCTTTTAAGATCAGTTGAAAGTTGTCTTGTATTGAACAAGAAAGAACAAACATTTTTAGAAAGTGGGAGTTTAGCTACTTGTAAAATCCAGGCTACACTCTGGCATAAATATCAACTCAAAGCTTCTAACTGCAGAAGGTACACACGATTATTCAAGCAATTTGTGCAAAGGTTCCAAGAGACGAGTGTGCACCCACAGATATCTTAGTGAACAATCAGGGACGGCACTGAAAAATGGTCACTGGGGAAATGTCGACATAATTAAGTTGACATCTTCTAAAACTATTTTCTTTTTTTTTAATTTAATTTGCAGTCAAAGGCCATAAGTCAATGGTTAGAGAGAACAAATTTCTAAACAGAAAATCTAATGATGCAATCTTGAAAAGGTCAAAAGAAAGGTCAAAATACAAAAACAAAAAGATATAAATAAAATTGACCGAAATATGAGGATGGTGTGTTTTCAAAATGTCATTCTTCAAATCTTTAATCACAGAATTATACTAGAAAAAGTGTGTGTGTGTATTAAAATTGTGTATTTGGGAAGCAACCCCATTTTTATGCAAGTTTTGTTAAAAATGACTGACAAGGTGCTGTGGTTAAGTGTCATATATAATTTTTCATGTCTTATAATTTTTTTTTTTTTCAGGACATAAATGATATAAAAATTGTCCAAATGTTTTATATATCCAAGCACTTTCAGCTATACTTTTAGCCATTATCAAAGCTGAATTCTATTTTACTTTCAACTCAACGTCATGAAAATGGTAAAAAAATAAAAAATAAAAAAAATAAAAAAAATCAGCAAATCGTGCTGAAAACATGCTCCAAAGCAGTTTTATCAAAACCTTTGTTATCATTAAAAGGAAGGATCAAAGCAGTTTTTGATTATTTAATTAAATTTTTTTACTCTTTTTTAGAACATTCGAAATTTTAATTAAAAACCTTGTTTCTTTTTTGTGTCAGTGGTTGTACTAACTTCTAGCATAGCAAATATTTGCCTCTTTTTTGTGGTGACAGACACATTAATTTGGAAATTCTTACAAAAATCAGATAATTCTGACTTTAATGAAATTTTCAGGACTTATTCACAAATGAATGAAATTAATTTAAAAATTTTTTTTTTAAAAAGAAAAGAAAATTTTGGTAAAAATATACATGTGTTTCTCCCACTTAATTTTATGAAAACTTCAGAATTTTGAGATAATTTGTAGTGACTATTAGTTTTGTCATGTTGGATGGCTTTGCTTGTCTCTTTTGCTGTGTCAAGTGAAAGCTCATTATTACTTCCAAAAATGCTCATTATATTCGAGACTTTGTAGACACTGGTACTAGTAGCAATGCTTTCCAATTATATCCACACTAGTAATACTTGTTCAAGTAGTAATCGCCAAATAGTATAATGATCAGAAGAGAATCGTAATCCATATAGCAGTAGAGTAGAGAGTGAATGTATAGCAATAGTGGATAGACAAGAAGAGTGAACAGTGATCCACAGTTGATATAGGTAAAATAGTGATCGTATAGTCATCACACTACTTCGTATTTATTCACTTACTTTATGATCACGGGATCTACTTAATAATGGAATTGCCCGTCTTAATCACTGTTGATCCAGTTTCAAACCACAGTGTCGGAAACGACACTTACACAACAATTAGTTAAAAGCAGAATTTAAATCAGATTTTATTTTGTAAATTAGATCCAGTCTTACCGAAAATCTGTTCTGAATTGAAAAAAAAAAAAACAAAAAAAAAACACTATAAAACTAAGACATTATTTAATTAGAGGAGCTTTTAATTGCTTTTATAAATAATATATATTAAAAACAATACTGTCTGAAGTAAAAATAATTTTTTTCAATGAAAAAGGAATTTTTACAAGATTTGTTTTCATTTTTTTCAATTTAAAATTGAATAATTTATAAAGATTTTGCATCTTTTAAAGTTCAACTTCGAAGAGATAATTTTTAGAGAGTATTTACTAATCATATATTTTAAAACTTATTACAATCTGAAGACCCCGACTATTTTTAAAAGAATTTTGATTTGTTTTTGTATGTGTTTTATACACGCATAATTTCAAACTATGGATGTCCAAACCTATAATGTTATCATTATCAAAATTTAGATCTGTCATTGCAAAAAAAAAAAAAAAAAAAAAAAAAAAGATAAGAAAATGATGCTAAAATTTGCAATGTTATTTAGTTTTGCAAAGAGAAACAATTTTTTAATCAAAAGTTAGAATGTCCTAAAAAGGATGCAAAAAAAAAAAAAAAAAAAAATATTTTGGGCTTTCCTCTTAATAAAAAACATTTAGACGATAAAATTTTGTTTTCATCAAGTTTAATGCTGTTTTATCATTCTATTCTCTTTTTTTTTTTAGCAATTTCATGAAGTTACCTAAGTATATCCAATATAATTATTTATGAATTCAAATCTGTAAATATTTATATTGTATATACTACAACATGCTTAACAAGACTCATCTTTATAATACAAAAGCCTCATCCTCATCTTAAAAAAGAAAAAAAAAAAAGCCAACCCACAATATCAACTATGAACATGGCGACAATGTGCTGACCATGTTTGGAAAATAAAACATTCCTATAACTCTAGATATATGCACAAAACAATCCATATACAGAGTGTGATGGGTAAATTGTTGCCATTTTATATTTTTAATTTTGTGCATGCACATTGCTTGTTTTTGATTTTGTCACCTGAACAGTATAGTAAGGTGAGTTGGGCAGTGTTTGCATTCACTCACGAAGCACCAATACCAACATTTCAGAGTGCTTGGGTGTCAATCTGAGAACAGTGTAGAGGATTCAGAAAGAGTTGGACAAGTCTAATATTGATTATGAAGGTACAAAAGCTTGGAAAATTCACTCTGGTCATTCTGATAAGAACTCCCAAATTTGTTGGTGAGGGCCTCAGACTCAACATGGAGGCCTATATCAAGTGGCTTGAGGAGGTAGTGCTGCCTGGGTCAAGAGGGTGGCTGCTGGAAGACCCTATGTCTGGCAACAGGATTCTGCACCATGCCACACAAGCAGGAGAACTCAGTCATGGATGACTGACAATTTCTGCAATCACATCACCCCTTACATCTGGCCACCTAACTCCCCAGACTGCAACCCCCTTAATTATTATGTGTGGGGGCACAGTTGAGCAAGAGACCAACAAAACTCCTTATAGCACCAAAGATGAACTGAAGGCAAGAAATTATGGCAGCATTCACCAACTTAAACAAGGAGACTGTCTAGAAGAGTTGCAGGAGATTCCAAAGTCCTCTGGAGGCCATGGTTGAAGTCGATGGCAATTTTATTGAATAAATTTACTCTTAGTATTTCAAGATATTTTTGTGTAATTTTGGTAAATATATCTGTTAAAATGAGATGCCAGTGTTATTTCCATTTTTGCATAATTTAAATGACAATTTATCTATAGCACCCTGTATTCAGTTAAAAGTAAAAAATAATTAATCCTTGATAATGGTTAAAAGTATAGCCAAATGCACTTGGATATATAAAACATTTGGACAATTTTTATATCATTTATGTCCTGAAAAGAAAAAGAAAATTATAAGAACAGAAAAAAATGATATGAAAATAACTTAAGCATAACACTTTTTCAACTGTTTTTAACAAAATTTGCATGCATATATATCAGTAATAAATGAGAAAAATAACCTTACCTAAGTTCTGATTTTGCATCTAAAACATTCTGTAAACTAAGTTGTGATAAATTCTCAGAGGTTAAGTCTCTCTGCAAAAAGAAATAAATATAAAATTGAATACATAAAGATATTCAAACTATAAGAATCAGATGACCAACATTTGAACAATTACAATCTGTTCCAAATATTTACATTATGTAAGAAATTACTATAAAAAATTTTAATTACTATGAAAATGGTAAAAATTATATGGAAAAATCAAACAAAAAAAACAAAACAAAAAAAACATGTCTTTGAGACATCAAAAGGTCATTTAGCAACACTGTAATATTAACCAACTTTTATCACTCAATAGAACATTTTTAACATTTGTTGGTCAGTATTTTTGCTCATAATGTATAACTCATTGTTCACAACATTTCTTCCCTCTGAAATCATTTGTAAGTTTTTTTTATTTTTTATTATCCTCCTACAAACAAGACTGCATTCAAACAGAGACTTTTGTATAATGAATTTTCTTTCTTTAAACTATTGAAGAGAGAGAGAGAAGCAAAAAAGCAGTTAATGCTTGATTATTCAACATTAATTCAAACATATTCTGCAAATAATTAAACTCTTTAGATAACCTACAATCAATACGAAAAATGGAGATCAGGTTCTCAATTGTTTAAATGTTTTTTTTTTCATTTGCACCCACTCCAAGCACTGATGCAAAGTAAGTGATTAACAAACATTTATTAATACATCAACTCTCAATTTAATGGCCTAATAGGTAAGGAGGAGTGTCCATTAATGCTAAAAGTAATTAATCTGAATATACCCTAGGTGGCCATCCACCCCCATGTAAAATGATTGATTAGTTTACAGCTTATCAACCCATTGCAGGTTATTTAAAGCCAGAGAATATTTTCTTTGATTGTTAGAATTTTTTTTAGAGATAAAAATAATAATGATGATGATTTAGTGATACCCATAGCTTAGGGGAGAAGGGGGGGGGATTCATACGATTCCCAACTGTATTTGCACATAAGTGAATATAACAAACCCAAGAGGAATTGGAATTCGTCTCTGATTAACAATTCTGAGCCATTATGTATTACACCACCTGCACATCAAAGTTTACAGCATCTGGTGTTCCCAAATGGTCACCCATCTAGATACTAACCAAGCTCGATGTTGCTTAACTTTAGTGATCATGCTGGAAAAACAGCGTTTCAAATGTGATGCGGCCATAAGCTCAAATGAAAGATATTAAACGATAATAAATTGTAATATCATATATAAATATGTAATAATATTTATATTTCTGACCATAATGGTTCTTAACTTATTTTTTGACAGTGAACCAAAATCTTATCAAAAATCTATAATGAAACCCAATATTCTCATAAATAATTTCATTTTAAGCTTGGATATTTTTTAAGGACAGCCAAGCCCAATCTGAGACCCATGACAAAATCTGTTAAATCCAGGGTTTACAGCCCTGATACAACAACAAAGAATATAGCAAGGTAAGAAACAACTGCAATTAGCATGTATTTATTGCACTGGGCAGCTGAAGTAGCTGACCAGTATTTGGCAGCACCTCTCTGCCAAGTCCAAGATATTGTCTTCAGTTTGCTTGTACACAATCACAGTACAATTCCTATTAGTTTGAAGTTTGTGTCCTGAACTTGTATCAATCAGGAGTTTTGTTACAAGTGAAAGCTTGATTGTGACAGTTTGAGGTTCATATTTGTGATAGTTTGTGCAAAACTAAAACAAAGAACAAATGAAAGTTGTTGTCATTTTTTTTTTTTTAATTAAATGTATGTATATTTTTGTTTTTACATTAGAATCCTCATTTTTGGTATGTTCTGGTAGCAAGACAGTTCTTGGCAAAGAAAGTGAAATAACAAAATTCAAATTCCTGCCTAATCTGTTGCATTCACTTTCTCAAATATCCTTGGGGAGAGGGAAGGCATGAATTCATCTCTTTCCCCACCCCCAGCTATGGTTAAATAGCAAGATAGACTAGGCTCCTTTGCCTTGAGTGGCAGCCAATTTAAGAGAAGGAAACTAAATTCAAAACAGTAGAGATTAAGGCAACAGGAAAACACTCCATTCTCCTAAGCGTAGAAACTCCGATAACAAAAAAAGGAAATTGTGGAGATACATGATTATGTCAGGAAGGGACATGGCATTTAACAAACAATAAATAAAATACTCATTATTTAGTTTATAGGTTAAAGAAATATTGAAGTTGGTTGATTCTCCAGTAGTCTTCTAGTGATGCCTTTTACCAGTTATATTTTTTTTTTTTTTAAATGATTTTTTTTTCTGATATTTAGTGTTAAGAATGATAAGTCATTAAACAATATTCTATTTACAAAGTTTCATACAAACTATGTGAAAAATTACAACAGACTGAGGTTGGGCATAAAACAATACTCACCCGACTCTGAGGAAAACATGGACAACAAAACCCCATATATGTGCAGTAAGAGACAAGGGATTCTGCTTTTATAATAGGAGACACCTTAAAATTAGCAATGCTGTCTATGTTCAACTGGAAAACAGAAAATACAACATGCATCATATTTTAATTAATATTTTCAGTTAAACAGAACCTCAAATTAATTCAACTTTATTTTACAATGCATGTTAAGCATTTTAAAATGTCATCCCAAGTCCAGTTATTTAAATTGAAAAAAAAAAAAAAAAAAAATTAAAAAGTAATTGAAAATATTTGTAGAGAGAAAATTGACATGAATAGCTTGCTTTTTGACATGTCAAAAAAAAAAAAAAAAAAAAAAAAAAAAAAATAATCTATAAATTTAGTTATGCTACAACTGTAAGATAAATAAGCCTGGATAGAGGAACTTTAAAATTTGCATACATATAGACATCTGTAGAAACTAAGACATATTTGCCTATAATGTCTCTTGCTCTCCCACATATACATATATACATATATATGTATTCCCAGTGCCAACAGTCAGCTTCATGCTTAAGCACAATCTTCAGGTTGACCTGCAGATTGTGTTTAAGCATGGAACAGATAGTCATTGCTGGATGTTGACCTCAATGTATACTTTTATATTTACATATGCGCTATCCTTCATATTGAGTTTTAACTTTATAACCTATAAATATAGCATACCATAAAATATATATATATATATATATATATATATATATATATATATATGTGTGTGTGTGTGTGTGTTTTCTTAATTAGTGGATTTATTTTTAATCAGACTTTTTTTTAAATTACTTTAAATATTTTTTGAGGATACCTGTGTTTGAAATAGAAGCCCTGTTTTTTTTTTCATTTCAAACAATGTACATAATCAAGAAAATTTAAAGAAAATGTACTTGCCACAAATTTTCTTGAGTGTGCAGATTGATAGATGTAATGTCTATTTCAAACACGAGTATCAACTCATATACATACATACATACATACACGCACAAATATTTATTAAACTTGATACAATGTCAAAAAAAAAAAAAAAAAAAAACAGAGCATCTAGTATAAATTGAACATTGAACTCACTAAGGATGATCACTGGAATTAATTTACTAACAACTATTCTGCAGCAGCCACCTTATAAAAATAACAAGTACCAAAAGCAAACCTTTCAGTTGGGAAATAAGTTTCTATGTTTCCAGTCAATTATTTCACTTTTTCTTTTCATTTATTTTTCAGTAATTTGGGTGTGAAAGAAAGATCATCAGTCTCCCTCCCTCCACCAAACATTGTTTAAATTTTGTAAAGGTCAAGGGTTAATACTGATTCAAGGCTGTCTATAAAAACCTTGGGCAAAAGAGTAAATGGGAGAAAGGGAGAGTAAGCACAGAAGTAGAAGGTGGAGTATAATAACTGAAAGAATATCTTTGGCAGGTTGCCCTGAATTTAATGATGAAAGGCTTATTAGGGAGAGACAAAGATGGGACAGATTAGATTATAACAGATTATTATTTCCACAGATTAAAGATTTGTGTGTGTGTGTGTGTGTTGACACTGAACAGTCCGTTTCATGTTAAACGGAATCGTCAGACATGGTCTGATGATTGCATTTACCATGGAACAGACTGTTGCCTGGGTATTGACTTCAATGTCCACTTTTATATTTACATACACTATCCCTAATATTGAGCATTTAAGACATAAATATAGCATATCTTAAAACTATATTTTATTATATATATATATATATATATATATATATATATATATATATATATAAAAAAAAAGGGAAAAAATGTCAAAGTTTTCAAGGGTGCCTAATTTCAGACTAAAATGTTGTTCATGTTGATGTGACTATATATGCACATAAAGGAGAGGGGATGCTGTAAACTTGAAATTAATATTTTTTTTTTTTTTTTAATTTAAACTATATGTTTGGCGTATATAATCTAAACTATTTCATTTAGTTTCTTTTTTTCCTTTTTCTATCACTTATGTTATTAAAAATTTCTCAGCACTCCATTTTGTTCATGCACATAGGTAGTCGCATCAACGTAAACATCATTTTAGTCATGAGATTGCAAAGGATGAAATGCATCCCACAAATTTTTTCCCCACAAAATTGTACTTGATATATACAAAATTTAGATATCGTTTTCCTACTTACTAACTTAAAAATATGGTTCCATTGCAATATTATGAATTTACTAATTTAAAAATAGAGGAAAGCGCAAGACAAAATGGGAACATTTACTTGTGATGCATTTCATCCGTTAAGATTTTATTGGACTGGGTTTGGTGATGTTGTTATGACTACACATGTGCATGAAATTTTTGAGAGAATTTTTTGCAATCTCTCTCTCTATATATATATATATATATATATATATATATATATATATATAAATTCATCTGTCATCTTTTTCTTTTAACTATCCCATGTGTGTGTGTGTGTGCGTGCGCGCATATAAATAAAATGTGTGTGTGTGTGTGGTCTCTTTAGCAAGTAGGCTTTTTACAGCAAAGAGTTGCCAGCTCCATACCCAACCAGTTTTGATTTCAGAGTCGTCCTAACCTGCTTACTAACTAAAGCTAAATAGTCTGTGCCATGTACTCATAAATGGATTAAGGGAACATAATCTTTTGCCATACCCATTACATGTGGTCGACAAAAATTATATTTCCCAACAAAATCAGTTCAACTGTAGTTACTCTATACTTAAAAGGGATAAGGATGTATTTTCCATTTTTCTTTTTCCTCATCAACCCTCTTTGGAGATGAAACAATGTGTTATCATTACTTCTCATTATAACATCTCGGCAATAAAAAAACCCAAAATAAGTAAATGCAATATAATTTAGGTTCTTATTGTTTAAGAAATTGAAATAGTTTTGCAAATAGAATTTAGAAAAAAAATACAAAAGAAAATGAGGTCTATAATATATAGAAGATTCGTTAACATTTCAGAATGTGTTCAGCCGATATGTAATTCTTTGTGTTGTTCATCTAACCACAATGTCAAAAATAAGACTGGCTGAAACATTGTAACATCAGCAACAATATATTCAACGGTCTGAATGAATCTTGGACAACAGAAAAAAAAATGTTCATGATCTAAAAGTGGAAAAATATTGTTAAATAAAATCTTGGGAAAGAAGTAAAAATTTATTACATTTTGAAAAACACTTAGTATGATCTTTATTGAAGATATTTTATTTGGTAAAAAACATTCTCTTAACCGATTCTTATGGACTAGCACCATCTTTATTCCATGTATTCCTCAGACTGTATTCATCTTTGTTGTTTTTCTGTTTGCCCAAAACATTTGGATTTTAATATTTTTTCTTCTTTTTGTAATTTTTTCATTGTCAAGGAGTTATTTCCCTTGCACTGATAATGCCAGGTGGCAGGGTCTTTATGACAATGACACTGTTCAAAGATGTAGGCAAAAGCACAGACTTCACAAAATACAGGAGTACAACAATAATTAAAAAAATATTTCAAGACTCAAATTTAGTGATTTGTTTTCTGTGGCTTATGATATTGTAAGTTATTTAAAGCCAGAAAATATTTTTAGATTGTAAGAATTCTTTTCATCAAAGAATGAAAAAAATTCTTCTATTTTTAATTTTTGCATTGTTTATTTTCATTGGTTAAGCAGACCTCACATGCATCTGTCTTGTCAAGCAGTGCTTCTTATTTGTTCCTTATTCTATCATTTTGTAAGATTCAATCCACACATATATATATATATATATATATATATATATATATATATATATATATATATATATCAAAGTATATAATTGGTATATACGGAATGAATTCCAATAACCAACAATTACTATTCTTAAAAGAGTGCTCAATACAAAGTAGAGCAGATATAATTATTTTTATAAAAAATTTATAACATAAGTATGTTATACTTATGTTATAAAATAATTATATATATATATATATATATATATATATATTTAGTAGCCACACCAACTCAATAATATTCTTAAAATAGGGAACATTTTTATTAACCAAAATGTCAGATACAAAAGTATCATCTCAATTAAAGATAGAAACTTTAAAGTACCTTTTGGTCTATGCTTAGCCAGAAGAAAAATCATCGGAATTAAGAGAAACTACTGAAAAGAAACAAACCTCCTTGCAATAGAATTAACAGAAACAAGGAGGAGGAGGAGAAAGGTAAAAAAATAAAAAATATTTAAAGTTGTCCAAAACAAGGCAAAGACTTGCCAAATAATGCCAGTTTATGTTTCAGTTCCCTTTACCGACACAGAGTTGGATGAAATGTATTGATAACAACCACCTCCAAGATGTTAAGATGGTGGTTTGTCCAAGCCCAGTGCAACACAAAGAACTCCACTGAATAATTGGACCCAGATGTGATGGAACTCAATAGATGCTTCCCGATAACAGGTTCATGAACCTGTGAGTGCTCAGATCCTAATGGAGCATATCTATGTATAAAGCCAGGCATGGGTTATACAATCCACATATCCAGCCACTGGATAGTCTTACCCACATTGTCAGCCTCACACTGACAATGATAACAACTTTATTGATTGGTGGGCAAGACATCCTTATGGACAGATGGGAAAGCACTTTTAGTAGCAAAGATGTTCCGTACTACTACAGAATTGAAGCAGTGCACAACAGTTGAGGATATTCTTATCAGTGTATGATTGACTAATCCAAAGTAATCTCGTGTAGACAGGACATTTAGGTGGACCAAATGTTTTAATTTGGTTAAACTTTGAAATTTTATGTCTAATGTTTTTTTTGATGACACCTTGTGGATAGCTATTGGCAAGAAAGATACTAGTAATTTCCCTGAGTTTGGTATCAAGTTTGTACTCTGAACATATCAATGTACAATGAGTAAGTGTTTTGACATGGTTAATTTTACCAGACTTAGGAGCAAAAGATCCCCCAACTGAGATATAGCCCAGTAAAAGTGGGTTTCCTATAAATACTGGTGAGGAAAGAAGTAAGAGTTCTCTCAACCAGCACATGTAGAAAAGGTAACATTATTATTATTATTCACCTCCATAGTAAATTGTAAAGAGAGGCTGAGACTATTTGAATGTTGAAAAAAAAATCAAAAAAAAAAACCCTCATTATGTGATGAAAAAGATGTAAACGTGACATCAGGCATACTGAAATAGAAGTATGGTTTAAAGACCTTATGAAACAATTGCTTCTCATGAAACCCATCAATTTGTTGGTACATGTCGTTATCAAAAGCTGAAAGATTTAGTAGCCAATCCCATCAGCTCGACAAAGACAATCTCAGGAAAAGTTAGAGGCTTTAACGGGACCACGATACAAATAGCATACATGTCAATAATCTCATCAAGAGAGACATTTGTGAACAGGCTACAAATAACAAAAAAAAGATGAGAGACTCCATGTCAACAGTGCATTGCAGTTTACATATATCAGATGCAAACTGGAATGAATCTGGAATACAATACTCCAACCAACCACTTGGCCAACTCATGCTGAGCAAAGCCCACTATAGATAAAATAGGCTGAAGTGGAACATTTATTTTATGAACTTTCAGCAAATTATACATCTTAGGGTGCTGGGAGCCAACAGGTCAAATTCTATCATATACCTGCTTTGTGAGAAACATGCTTTTATGAAATTCAAGCCATCTCTTTTGAAACTTAACTTCCATTTTCTCAGTGTCATCAAATGATATATCACCTAATTTTCGAAATTTACTACTGTCCTCCAACATAGACGACATTTTATTCATATAATCAGAATAATTCAGAATTCCAGATCCTTTATCCGGTCAGGTTATATAAATATCAGTCCTAGATTTTGACAGTCTGGCCGTCTGATAGCGATTCTGCTGCCAAAGGAATATCCTAGAATCAATAGATGAATTTACAAAGTCATGTGCAAGCTCATTTAGACAGGCTTTAAGATGGCTTACATTCTCAGTGGAAGTCGGCACATGTTTTACTAATTAGGAAAACAATAATTCAAACTCGCTAAAGACTTTGATTTTCTTGATCATCTTGGGGGAGGATACAAAAGTCCAAACCATGGGACAGGACCAACTTACTGGTATTGGACAAACTATGATCAGATAAATTAATTATATATACAATAGAATCATTGATGATTATAAATAAATATGAATAAAAGTGGCAATCAACAATCACCAAAATAAAGTTAGAGAATAGACAAAATCAAAATGTTGAAAAGAAAATGAAGATAACAGAAAAAGAAAATTGATTATGGCATTTAAACTTCCATTGAAATTCAGTTTTCCTATAAAAACTTGTTTTATAATGACCAAACACAAATCTTCTCATTTAACTCAGACTTGGGTATAAATCAACAAAACAAAGCAGATGGAATGGCAGTATATGTTGTGTAAATGAGGCAAATATTATTAAAAACTGACATTTCAAGTCAGTTAATATTAAAGATCAACTCTTCACAATTAGTAATAATGCTTCTCAGGCAAGGAAAAAATTCTCAGAAATTGTCCAAAGTTCATTTTGGAAGAAAAGTACAGGAAATATAGCAATTTGTAAGTTAATAATGTATTTTTTATTAACTCAAGAGATATTTCTCACATTAAATGCTATTTTTAGTGAATATCAATATTAATATATACCCATTCTTTTAGAAATGGCTTTGTTTACAAAAGTGAGCAGATATGAACTTTCTGGAATCTGCAACGATAAGGATTGTGCTTAAAGGCAGTATTTTGCCTGCTTGAGCGGCAACACTGTGTCAGAGTCAGTTAAAAGCATGCCGGATCGAATCCTGTTGGAAGGTGCATCTTTTTCTTTAATAAGATTTCTTGAATATTCAAGCCAGTAGATAAATAAATATACTGTTTAAAGTAAAATGGAGCATCTACTCAAATATGGGTATCTACTAAAAAATAACATTTACAGTGATTTGTGTGTATGTGCATGTGTGCGTATATATATATATATATATATATATATATATATATATATATATATATATATATATATATATATGGCTGAGTGGTTAGAACATTTGCTTTCTGACCATGAGACCCGGGTTCGAATCTCACCATGGTCGATTTGTTGGGAAGGAGACTTCCTGATGTTACCGGACTAGGCCAAGATCAATCCCAGCATGTGGTACCTTTGGAAAGTGCCTGAAAACTATGCCACAGGTTGACCCAAGACTTGTGAGGAAAATGGGGTAGACGGAACTCTTATGGGCCATTGATAACTGTGCTAGTATGAAGCCACAAGTCGTCATGGCCGAGGGCCTGAGAGTGCTGGCCTTGTTCAAATTGTTGATCACACTAGATAACACGCTCTATCCCAGAAACTGTAACTAAGGTCTGCTCAGCATAGTTGCAGTACAAACCACAGGTGGGCTCTGTGGGTGTTGAACAAACACAAATGTGCCTGAGCAAGCATCTGCAATAGGGATTGGATAGCCATCCTAATATGGGTATCCTCGAATACGAGTGTCCAGCCCTTATATTTGTGATAAATGCCCCCCCATATATCAAACTAATAGCTGATAATAGATTGAAAACAAAATTGAAAAAAAAAAAAAACCTTCTACATTACATGTTTCATGATTCAAAAGAACTTTAAACCAATAATGGTTTTATTGATGGAATTTTATTTCTGCCAGCTATATTATACAACGTATCTACTTTCCTTACAAATCTGCTGCTATTACAATGCAAGATATTTCAAAACAATAACGATAAAAATAAAAACATAACATTAGAAAGCGGAATGAGGTCAGTTAAGTCATACATCTAGACACATTGGTTGCCAAAAAATTAATTTAAAGCTAAGCATTGTTGTATCTTCCATATTTCTCAAAAGAAAATTGTAACCAGTGCTTATTGTATTCCACCCACACACACCTACAACATAAGATTCCATCAATATTATAATAATAATAGGAGTAGATAAGTTCACCCATCATCCGGTTCACACTCTTCCCCAAGTTGTTTAGAACAGGAGTAGAGGTTTAAACCTTGTTTCCAGTTTAGGTTTGGGTTTCCAGTTCCTTCTAAAGTCTACTTCAACTCAATACTCCTAACAACAGTCTAAACTCTGAAACTCTCTCAGTAGGAGTAGATAGGTTCATTTATAGTCCTGTAGTCCTGTTCACACTCCTCCCTATGGAGATTATGAAACAAAGTGTAAAAGCATTTTATCTCATGCTATTATACATCCTACATACCGTGCAATTGTCTACAAAAAAATTAAAACCACTAACTAGTAACTAGAATCAGGTAATTTATTCATTTATTTTGTTAATGATAAGGGCAGAAAAAAAAAACTCACTGTATCAATTTTTGCTTGGGATTTCTTTTTAGACTGTTTTGGCGCAAATGCCAACTTCTCGTATTTCTCTTTCCAACGCTGTTTGCCTTGTTCTATTAATTCTTCCGTACTTTCTACCTCAATGTCACCATTGTTTTCATTATTATTATTGTTGTAGTTGCTGGTTTTCCTGGTCAAATTGTTGTTGCTGATGTTCTTTTTGTTGTTCTTTTTGACATGAGATTTTGAAGACTGCCTGCTGGAAGCAGCATCAGGGCCCTGCTTATAATAGCCAGGTTTTTTCTCCCATTTCTCATGGACTTTACTCAGAGCATCTAATTGTTCTTTGTTCATGGTGCAAGCTAGAATGACAATGAATGAACATGAAAGCAAACCAAAAATCAAACAAAAGAAAGAAAATAAAAACAAATGGTAAAGTAATTGACAGACAAAAAAAATTAGGAAAGAAAAACAATACAAAAAGCAAAAAATGTATATGAATGATGGGTATATACTGAAGTAAAAAGCAAATGAAAATATTTTTCTCAAATGTTAAAAAAAAGAATTACCTCAAAGCCGTTAATACACATTTTATTTTAATACTCACCTGATAAATAAAAGCACTATATGCTTTTGTGTGTTGACCACATCATCCATTGTAAATGTAAACTTCATTCAAATCGTATTCCTTGGTTTATTTTATAAAATTTATATTTTATTTATATTATAGTTGCAAATGTAAGAATAAAAAAAATGTCTCCAAAAATGTAAGTTATAATTTATTGAAAGACATCAATGTATTAACAAAAATTGCTAAATTGGAGAGAAAGGAAAAAATTTAAGCCAATTTTCACAAAATAAAAATCATCAATGTATTACACAGGTTTTCTAAATAAGAATTTTGGGAAATTTAAATCAGGTTAAAAAAAAGAAAATAAAAAGGTGTGAGCCATAAATTGAAGGAAAAAAAAAAAAAAAACAAGTTGTTATAACCCATCAATGTTTCATGAGTTTATAGTTCAATCTTATAAAAATATAAGAAAATATTTTCAAAAAACATTGTTTACAAGACCAGTGGGTACAGATTTTAAAAGATAATAAAATTAAGAATTTACTTGAATAAACAGATCTGTGCCAAACAATATTCTCAATCTAAAAATAAAGAAACATGAAAGAATCAGTTATAATGACTTAACAGAATTGCTAAAATATATGATGAACTCTCCCGTCGATTTGACATATGAGGGCTCAACACTCTTTTTGGTTCATTTTTTTTTTATGTTTATGCCTTAAATGGCACTTCAGTCCAGCTGCTGATTTACACATGAAACCACATTCAGTGCAGATGACAGAATTTTTCAAATATAAAATATAAACATTGATAAATTACACATTTACAATGGTTACACTTTTCAAATAAAAACAGAATTTTCTTTCAACAACTATTAATTTCTTGAATGCACCCAATAACAAGGCTCTTTAACTGCTAAAAAATATTTACATTATTTACAGTCAGAGTAATGGCTTCATCTTGTTACTATCACATGTCAACCATTGTGTCCTCCCGTTTTCTTTAGATGTCTGTTGATCCAGGTGACCTTTGAGGAATTTCAAACCAAACCCTTTAATTAATCTACTGGACTGTCCATGTCTCAGGAAATTTCATCTTGTACTTGTTTTACTACTGCTCAATTATTACGAGTCCTGTTTCCACTGAGCCTGAATGCACATGGCCCAGACTAGGGATTGAACTCAAAATTACTATGCCACCAAATTCACAAAATAATGCTTTAATCCTTTAGGCTAGTGCCTGGTGGAGAACTTAGAACCCTAAAGTTAATACTCATTGGATATTTTTAGTATGACACTATTTAAATTTATATTAATTTTAAACGTTTCTGTTGTGAAAAATGTTTCTTTTGCATTGCTATCTTCAGCAAGAATTTCTCAAATACAAGAAAAAACAAAGAACATTGATTATGTATGGTGTGACTCTTAGCAGCTTTTCTCCTTAGCAAAGGGAGAAAAACTGCTAAGACCCAAACGAGATAGGAAGATATGAAGAGCCATGATCACCTATGTCCTGAAAGGACACACCATATAACCCCCCCAATAGCAATTTATGAAAGTCAAGAAATAATAAAACAATTCCCCCACAATAGTAAATGTGACAATACTAGATACTAAGTACTTCTTGTATGACACAGTAACATTATTATTAGTACACTTAGAAGACAAACCACTGATATTCTGACTAATCTGCCACAAAACAAAGCAGTTGTGCATAGTATTTATCTTAGTTCTTTTTTTTATTCTTCAAAAATCCTATACAATGAGGAAAAAAAAAAAAAAAAAAACACACCCAATAATTCTGTATAGGATTTTTTAATCATATTTTGTTAATATACTGCCATTTCTCACCCCCCACATACTCTATGTAAAACCCAAACACTGGTCAAAGTATTTCAGGTTTATCAAATTCCACTAGGCCAATCCTAAGCGACATCTAATCTGTTCACAAGACTGCAACATTATTAACAGTAGAACATACAATACTACAACTCACAATCTCTATTCAATTTTATTTTTCATATTTACAAGTCTGCATTCTTTATTAATAAACAATTAATCAACCAAATTCATATTCTGAAAATTTGAATAAATAACAAAATTCAAGAACAAGTGTCCCCCACTTTATACCACTTTGTATTTACGAAAGTCTTTTTTTTTTAATTATAGTTCAACCAATATAAGATCAAGTGCCACTCAAAGAGTGTTACTGAATGAGATGTGAAAATTATGAGAATATGGCAGATGGGAAATGATTGATCCTTGATTTGATTGTAGTGTCCAGGTCAGCATCCATATAAAAGCCTATTCCACAAAGTAATAGTTTTGGAGAAGAAACTTTCAGAAGGGAAAAAAAAAAATCATCCTTACCAAAGGTTTTTTTTTTTTTTTTTTTTTTTTACACCATTTTGGTTTATGGAAGGTTTTGATAAATAAAATTAAATTTAGTAAACTGTAAAGAATAACACTAATCTAATGCCTCAGTACTGCCCCACATCATGCCATATAACATCTTAGTATGTCATTGTCCTTTTTAGTTGTTAAGTAAAGAGCAGCTGTAAAAATTTAGAATTAAGAAGAAAAAAAAAAAAGAAAGAAAAAAAGATAGCTGCGTTGCCACAGTAATTTATATTACCTTAAACAAAACCATGGAATGGACATATATATATCCGAGGCAATATGCAACATACACTATGCATACATGAATTGTATCACTAAATATGTTAATAGAACATTATCTAATTCCCAAAAGGGATAGAGTAAACAAAATGGTATGCAAGGAAAAAAACAAAAAAAAAACAAACTAACTTTAATGTTAATTATAGACCAAGTGTATAATCAGCATTCTTCAGTTTTATCCATATTTAGTAATAGTACACAGTACTTTGTACAAAGATATATCCACCTTCTCCAACAAGGCTTATTTTAAGCAGCTTGTATATTTAGGATCTTAACATTGCTTGGAATGTACACTTGTCTTAAGTTTGTTGCTTCCCAACCTAAGAGGAAAAAAAAATATCCTATACCTTTTGAATGTAAAAAAAGATCAATTGGCACAGGAGTTGACTAGTAACAAATCAATTAATTGGATGTTGGTTCAAAGTTAGAAAGATCAATAAAGATATCTTATGCAATTCTGAAAATTATACTATTTTACTTTTGGTTTCAAATGTGCTAAGCAGATTATAGTATAGTCTGCATAATCTGATGCTAATGTCCCCAAATTATAGAATATAGATAATTGGCAGTGCAATAAACTAATTTGCTTTCCTCTGCAAGTTTTCACATTCAACCTGTCAAAAACCAAATCACAGATACCTAATTTATGTTTAACAATATATGCAGAGCCATTTCACAGGCTTGTATGAGAGAGTAAGCAGCAGAAAAATAAAAGTGAGGAAAATGAATCTCAAAATATTTTTCATCATTTCCTGTAGTTCCTTATATAAATATAATCCAATTTTTTTAGGATCAACTGTTACCAGAATTTTCGAAAATGGTTATATTTGTTAGTACACAAACACTTCTCTTTTTCACTAATTTGATATGCTTTCACCACAAAAGCTTCACATCTGAATATTTATTTCTTGGTACATTCTAATAAAAAACTCCTTTTTGTACTTAATATACAAGTAGAAGTGGGTTTTTTCTTGCCCAAAAATAATGTCATTAGTTTTTAAGTATTGAAGCTTAAAATTGAAAATATCTTGGTTCATTTTGTTGTCTCCATCACAAAAATGAACACCCCTAATACTTGTGAGACTAACAAAACAAATTTAACCTATTCCTTATATTGCTAAACTTTTATTTCAAACTTTTGAAAGCATTAGCTTTTTCAGGTAAAGCAGCAAAAACCTGGTACTTATCTAGAATACAATTAAAAATATACAACGTTTTGATTCTCCAAGATCAAATTTAATCCGGGAACACCACAAATTGTGTTTCTAGTAGGAAAGGAAATGGCTTCTAGTCATTACAATTATAGATATTAGGTTTTGGTGGAGAAAAAAACAAGCCAAACATAAAACAGAAATAAACATTTTCTATCTTGTTCAGCTTAGGAATTGACTGATTTGTTTGTTATGGCTTATCTGGATTTTTTTTTCTTTCTCTTGAGTGAATATTGTATTAACAATTTTTTGAAAATAAGAATGATTTTTTCCAGATATACATCATACTATTTAACCTATAGCTGAGGGGGAGAGATGGACCCATACCTTTTGCAAGGGTATTTGTGCCTAAGTGAATGTAATGAACCCAACTGGAATTTAAACTGAGCTCATCCCAAGCCACTATCCATTACATCACCTGTACATCTACTTAAGTCAGGAAGGAAACTCAATACTAAAAAGAGAAATTTATTTTCCTGAAAAACTGTTTTAAAAAAGACTTTATGAACTTCAACTGACAGTAACACTAAATTGTACAGTCATTGAATGCATAATGATGACTGTATGAAAATAGCTAACATTGCCATAGACACTGATATCACAATTGTGGAGAATGACTGGATTCTATAATATCCTACAGTTGGCATTATCAATATCATATCTATTGTGTATCAATATTGAACTTATTTTAAATTAATTTATATACAGGGTGCGGTAGAAATACCTCCTCCTACATAATGCTAAGACATTAGTGCCAATGGTGTCTTCACCTAGCTAATGCCTTACGTGGGAAATGTTTCTACCACACCTTGTGTATAATTGAACTTATTTTAAATTATTATATCGTTTGTAAATAGAAAGGAACACAAGCTTACTTTAAACTTAAAAGACTAT